GAAATGATGGAACTTCTCACTTAAGTGAATATTTGAATTGGCTTGAATTAAAAAAAAAAAAAAGAATGTGTTAGGGTTAATAGGAAAGGGAGTCCAGGAAGAGAGAAAGTATGAGAGAAGACCCTGGAGGTGAGAATGCTGGCTGGTTTTGAGAGATTTTTCAGGAGGAGAATTAACAGGAGTTGAATGCAGGTATAGAACTGGAGATGAAACATATGAGGGAGACAAGGGTAATAGTGAGAGTTCTTATTTGAACAGCTAGGTGAGTGAGAGCTCCCAGGGAGAGCATGTAGATTTCAAAAGGAAAAAAGGTTGAAAATGGAAACTTGTAGACAGGGACCTCTACCACTCAAGGGAAGGAAAGACAATGAAAAAGGAGACCAGCCAATAAAAGAGAATAAGGAGGAAAGAAAGGAAGAGGAGGAAATGAGAGGAGAGTTCTGGAAATCAAGAGTTTTCAGATGATGGTGGCTGACAATGATGACAATGCAGAAGTATCTGAATGACTGAGTTTGAGAATAAACCCCATACCTGCACATCAAGAAGTATCTGTGATTTAGTTAAAACAATTTTAACAGTATTTGGAGGATAAAAAAACAGAATGGAAGGAGCTGGGTTGTCAGTTTGGTGGAGATATGGAGGAGGAAGAGAGAATGGTAGTTGACAGAGGAGGTAAGGTAAGAAGAAAAGTTTAGAGAATGAAAAGAGGAAATATGACATTTCTTAAGCACTTAGTGTGTGTGTGTGTGGAATTTTGCTAGGAATTTCAGATGTGTGAACCTTGAGCATGCATATGGATTAAAGGAATGAGTAAGACAATAAAATTACAGGAGGTTTTTTTATTTTTTAAAGGGAAATTAGAGAAGGTGCTGGGAAAAGGAAACATTGAGAGGGAATTCGTCTTTCTTAGAACAGGCATATTGGAGTGGATTTAAAGAATGAAATGCTTAAATATTTGGTGGCAGAGTTTCTGTAATTTTCTCCATTTGGGTGTCTGACCTGAAAAGAGGGCTTTGTAAAAATAGAAATAGACTTGTTAAAAAAGACAGCTTGAGTTTAATAATAGCTAACATTTATAAAATGCTTACTCTGCGTCAGACACTCTGCTAAGCACTTTATATGCAATGGTGTCTTTACACAACAAGCCTATGATGGAGATATTCTCGCCCCCCTTTTATACAGGAAGAAGCTGATAACAGAAAGATTAAGTGACATTCCTGAGGTCAAAAGGCTAGTATGTGGTGGGGCTAAGATTTGAACCCAGGCAGAATGTGACCAGAGTTTGTGGTTTGAATCCCTGTGTTAAACTGTCTATCCAATAGTATTTCTGCATGAATTACATAAGTACCCTTAGTCCACTTGCTCTTATTCTGGACTAAGAGTCAGGACCGGCTATCTGGTTTTCCGCTGTGCTTAAGGAAAGGGGCACTCTACTTCAAGAAGCTCATGAATATCAAAATCTTAATCACAGCTATTCGGATGACACGCGTTCATGCTTTACAAACCAACCATGGCCCTAGTCATATTAAAATCAAAGTTGCAAAATAAAGAAACATTCTGAGGAACCTTGTCTGCTTCATTTAGATAACAGTGTGCAGAATGAATTGAAAGATAAAAATGCTCCACATTCACCATTTCCTTTTCCTTTTTTTAATTTTAAGCCCCGTGGTGTTATGGATGATATCATCAGGCAATTTGCTTTGAATATGTTCCATGCTGGACTGTGCAGATTACCCGACTAATGACATGCACACTCCTTGCCATTGTGACACCGCTCTTCTCACAAGTGGGAATTTCAAGTGACAGACTAAAGCTGTTTGCTATCAATTTTGCAAAAAAACCCACATCTGCCAGATAGACAAGATTTAGTTCAGAGACCGAAATCGATTAATATTCTAATTTGTTACCTGTCATTAGAGTCACACTGTGTTGCGCCAAGTCAAAAGTGATAACCTTTATGTAACATATGCTCCAAAAGGAATGTGATTTGGGGATATATTTTATTTTTGCTTAATGTTGTTCCCTGTGTATAAATCCCATTAGACATTTCAATTACACTGATAGTAAAATTGTAATGGATTAAAATGAAAGTGTGAAATGTGCAGTTACATATTTTTAATAAGACGGCATGGCTGTACTTATGATACTGTTTTTCTAACACTTATTTACCATTACCACTTCAATATTTTAGGTATTTCACTTGCTGTTTCCTGTTAAGTCAAGGAGAAAACTAGCAACATACTATCTCCATAGGTGTTACCCGCATCCTCTGACAGTGTATTATTTTAGGTTGCTGGTCAAAAGCAAATCTCTGTGGAGAAGACTGATTACCTGGTTTGATTTCCAGTGCCCACCGAAGGGACACAGAAATGGGACAATGGCTTGGAAAGGAATTAAATGAAGTTAATTCCTTAGAGCCAAGGGAGGGAAAAAAAAGGAGTTTCATAGCTAATTTTTTCCAGTTGATTGTTTTCCAACTGATGAACAGGGAGGAATAATATAAAGTCATACCTGGCTCTAAGTGGGAAAGGCTAAAAAATGGTTATCACTACAAATGTGGAAACAATGTGATGACACAGTCAAACACTGTAATGATGTTTTTCTTAATATTATAAATTAAAAAATTATAATATGCTTTAACTTTTCAGTATCTTAAGGCCTCAAAATCTAGGAGGTTGGTTCAGGATATAAGTTAACTTAAAATTCATTCATTCAACAAATAGATATTGAGTGGCTCATATGTGGCAGGCACCACCAGGGATATAAATATGCATTGAACAAACCCAACTTTTGGCCCTCATAGAGCTGACATTACTTTGGAGGGAGCCAAATGATTTAAAAGCAAATTATCACATGATCTCACTCATTTGTGAAATTCAATGAACAATGTAAACTGATGAATAAAAATAGAGCCAGAAACATAGAAGCATCAAACTGACCATCAAACTTCAGAGGGAAGGCAGGGGAGGGCAAGGATGGGGGTAAGAGATCAACTGAAGGACTTGTATGCATGCACATAAGCATAACCAAAGGTCACAGAAACCAGGGGGGCGAGGGCATGTGCTGGGTGATAGGGGTGGTGGGGGTGGTGGGGAGAGGTCGATTGGGAAAAAAGGAAACATGTAATGCCATATGTAATACTTTAAACAATAAACAATAAACAATAAAATAAAAGCAAATTATAAAATACAGCATTGTAAATGGTGCTAAGTAATATGGTGAGAAATAAAAAGCAAGGGAAGAACAGGAAATGCTGACAAAGACAGGGTGTGATACATGGGTCATAATGTAAAATTGCATGGCTGAGGAAGTTCTAACTAAGAAGTTGACATTTGGGAGATGAGAGAATGGGTTATGTGGATACATGGAAAACATTCAGTCCCATAGTTATCAACATTGCCACGCCTTTCATATTGTTTACTCTTCCAGAGAGGAAGATGGTATTGAGGACAAGGCAGAATATGGATTTGATTTAGTTATTCATTGCTTTCTCTGCTTCCTTATAACACATTTCTTTTAAAGTAAACACTTTGATAAAATATTCAAGTGAGAATTTGCCTCCATGATATATGTATTTGGTTTCTGCCAAGTTTTATCAAAGGTATCTAGATCAGCCCATCAGCTCAGCAGCAGAGCAAAGAAGAGAACTGGGAGCCTGCATTTCCCATAGTAGGGCTCTATCTACTGGACCAGCTCCATCCCACTGGGTTATGGATCTTCTTACTAAGAATGGTAATTGCTGACAACTGTGCAAAGTGTCTCTCAGATGAACTTGGATTTCTTAAAGGAGGACAGACAGATCAACAAGTTGTTAATTACTTGAGGGATAAGAAGTTGATTCCTGGTCTATTTTCATTTAGTTTCTCAGTGTCCTTATAGAAGAATTCTCTTACAAATTTTATAAATCTCTCATCTGGATCATTGCAACAGCCTGCTTTATATTCTACCTTTGCCCCTCTAAGCACATTTTCGACACAATAGCAAGATGATTTTAAAGAAAAACCTAAGCCAGATCCTGGGACACCTCTGCTCAAAACCATGCAAAAGCGTTTTATTTCACTCAGACCAAAATCCAAGTTCCTTAGAATACTCCCCAAGGCCCCATGTGATCTGGCCTCTGCTACAGTACAGATTCATCTTTGTCCCTCTCTACCTTGTACTTAAGACACATGCCGCTCCTTGCTGTTCAGGCAGATTCTCGCCTAAGGGCCTTTGCCTGTATTCCCCAGGTTATTATAACTTTCTTCCCTAATTCCTCCAGGTTTCATTAAAAACCAGCTTTCATTATCCTACATAATAACAACCTTTCCCTCCCTATCCCCTTTCTGATCCCATTTACTAGTCTTTAGTTTTCCTTACATTATTTATTACTAAATAATGCATTATATATATTTGCCTGTTTATTGATTTATTACTTCTTTCCCCCACTAGAATATAAGCTTTGTGAAGGCCAAAACCTAGATTTCCCAGCACCTAGAAAAGTGTTAATACAAAGTTAGTGTTCAAATATGAAAAAAAATGAACCTGTAGTTTAAAATTTATATTAAATGCCACTGTTGGACTTAGTGTTATACAAATAAGTGGGTACAAATTATTTATTTCCTAAAGACAAAGAAAAACTTTAAAAACTGTGCAAAAAGTTTTGAAATATTAACAAACGAAGAAAAGAAAATCAAACTTTGCAATTGGGGAAGTGCATTTTAGTTACCACTTAGAAATAATCTTTACAATGGAATAATTTCATAACCACAAATGTAAAATACAGCACAACTCTTAAGCATTAATATCCTTGAGAGAAACAGATACTAAAGAAGATAAAAAAGAACCCACTTACATTAAATACAAGATGCATATTTTTGGCAATACCGCAGTTCCAATAAAAAAAAATCAAATGTATGTTTATAATATGTTAGAAGGGATTCTGCTTTCTAATGAGTAAGATCGAGTAAGATGATTTTCAGCCATTTATTTTTCCTGAAGTAACAATGTGTACTACTCACGTGGAATTTTATGTAACTCATTCATGAACTTCTCCTTCAGCTTAGAAAAGGCATTTTCCTTTCCTTCTCCAGGGCCGGCTGGCTCTGTGGCATTATTTGGTGTAACAGTCACAGCAGTGGTGACAGGCGGGGCTGCCAGGGCCTCAGGATGACTCTCGCTCACCATTTTAGGTTCAGGTGAAACTGTGAAGAGAAGGAAGCAAAAAAGAATAATTCAAAATGGCTTAACTGATCCCACATCAAAGGTATACCAGGGATGAAAAAGCATCAGAGGGTGCACCTGCTCACGGGGTAAATGGTCTATCATTAGCATATTACTTTATGTTGCTTCATGAAATATTGATGGAACCACAGTGGAGATTCTCTCCCAGAAGGTAAGACCAGACAGTTACTGAAAGCATTCTCTCCCAACAATACCATGTAAACTCTCAGTCTATTAGTTATTTATATAGGCAATCGTTTGCTGTGTAGATTTAACTTTGTAACCCATATCTCACTGAAAGGTGTATGCAACGATTGCGGACAACATACAGGCTCTCTGCTCAAAATATTCTGCATTTTCTAAAAGAAAAAGATATCAAATATTTATACTGGAAATGTTGGTAAATGATAACATACATTCAAAATGTTAGTGAATTTTAAAATAGTTATGAAAAATACTGTTAAAATAGTGCTACTCTAAGATGTCATAAATGTCATACTGAAATTAATTCTTGAATCTGGTTTATTGATGGTGCATTTTCCTCTCAGTCTTTTCTCTTTTTTTTCTTTTTTTTTGACATCTACTGCGAACAATACTCTGTTCAATAATTTACTTGTGAATTTATTGAAGTCACTGTATATGTGGTATGATTGACTATATATGCCAGACACTGATGAAGAAACATGGCCTATCTGTTTAATTATTTCCATTTATTTAGTTTGAATATATTAATGAATTATCTTATTAACTTAATTCATTCAATTATTTTACATGTTTTTTTTATCTCCAAAATAGTAAAAAAAATTAATCCTAAGGTAGTTAGTGAAAAAAACCTTTAGCTTTGAATACAGAAGATATCAGATCAGTTCTAGTCCTCTTCACTAGCTAAATGAATTTTAACAAGGCATTTGACCTCATTTAATTTGCCTTTTGAAATATGAAGAAGGAAAACCTGTCCTGCCTAGATTTTTCTTAGTCTACATAACATAAATATATAATATTGTAAGTATATATTTATATTCCTAAATATAAGGAAGGCTTTCTAAAGGGGTTGAATTAAAGTCATATTCTCCAATTTAAACATATTCTGGACTTTGTGTGACTTAAATTTCAGGCTGTGCTGGTGAGAGAGTGGGCATGCATTTGGGCAGAAATAGGCAAATACAAGCAGGCCTGGGTGTGAGTAACCTGATAGTCTCTGCAGGGAGGTTTATGGAACCATAAAGCTCTTTTTCAATTTGCAAGGAAATGGAGATAACCCGCATACATAAAAGATTTTTATAGAATTCAAAGCTTTTGTGAGTTAATTATCTATACTTCTGTATTTAGTGGAAGTACAATTAAAAGAAGAATAATCTCAAATGTATGGGGTTATTACTAAAATCTTAAACAAAATCCAGATATTTTTGGATATCCTACAAGGAGATGGTGGCTGAGGCTAATATCAGCACACAGGTAATCAATTCTTATTTTATAATAGATTAGTTCTTTCTTTTAAGCTTTACATTTTCCACTAGTAGCTACTAATATAATCCTAGAGGGTAGAATCAGACAGATATGGGTTCAGATCTCTGTTCTTCAGTTTCTCCATTTGTAAATGAGCATAATCATACCAAATATATGAGGTTTTAATGAGTATGAAATGAGATAATTTATGCAAAGAATTTAATACAATGTCTAGCATGTAAGTTCATCCCATCTATTCCTTCCCATTTTGAGAGATAATATTGTTTTTCCATAGCAAGACTAAGAATAGTTACATGGCTCTTGAAAATTCATATCTGTGGATATAAGATGCTTATCAAGAAACATGTTGTAGATGAAAAAACTTGCTAATTATTCAGTCCTGACAAATGTGACGACTTTATATTCTCTTATGAACTCTAATGCATGTGGCATTACTTGCTTATTCAGAGAAAAATTTATATTCTGCTCAAGTCTTGATAAAATAATAGCCTACTGTTATTGAGTACCTACTAAGTGATTTCAATACATGAAATCATATAGTTCACATACCACTCCCACAAGACAAGTATAATTAAAATTCATTTTACAGTTGAGGAATACAGAGGTTATGCAATTGGTTCAAAGCAATATGGTAGTAATTATTACAGTTGGGATTTAAATTTAGTTGTCTTAACCACATAGTGTAAGACTTGTACACTATGTGATCAGTATCTGATAAAATTGTATTTTTTGGAAGTTTTTTACTACAACTCATAGTAAGAAGTGCTCCACTATACACACTCCTTCTACCTATGTTATATACAGAATAAAAGTTTCACATAAAAACACTTGCCTTTACAATGTGTGAAATATTTTTATATATTCAGTTTTGTTCTGTTCTTTTTCACTAAAAAATTCTAGTTGTGCCCAAAAATTATGTACATAAATTTCATAATCCATGAATGGTTTGAGACCTACAGTTTGGAAAGCCATTATAATAAGGGACATGTTGAAATACAATAACACTAAGTGAGGCTAATAAAAACTAAATATGCCATTTATTAGGAAGCTACCATGTACCAAAAGCTATCATCAATATTTAACTATAATATCCTCAAGTCTCATTACAATCCTGAAAAGTAACTCAGTCTTATTTTATAGAAGAAACTGGGATATGGAGAGGTTAAGTGATTTGTCCTACAAGAACTAGCCTGATCAAAGGTTATTTCCACCAGTCTACTCTAATAATAACATTTAAGTCTCAACAGTTAAATCAGTGCTAGAAAGGTATTTATGATTCTCTTTAAATTGGTTTACCAGTAAATGAAAAACACAAATAATCTTACTAATAGAAAACAGATTACTTAATTTTAGAGGTATAGTCATTTAGTTTGTTAAAGTGGAATTTACTAACCTGGAATGTGCCAAGAGAATTATTATTGAACTAGAGGCCTGGTGCACGAAATTTGTGCAGGGGGGCGGGGCTCAGCCCAGCCTGCCCCCTCTCCAATCCGGGACCCCTTGGGGGCTGTCTGACTGTCAGTTTAGGCCTGATCCAGGGATCGGACCTAAACCAGCAGTAGGACAGCCCTCTCACAATCCTGGACCGCTGGCTCCTAATTGCTCATCTGCTTGCCTGCCTGGTCACCCCTAACTGCCCCCTGCTGCTGGCCAGGTAGCTCCCATATGCCCCCTCCCTGCTGGCCTAGTCACCCATCACTGCCCCCATCCCAGCCTAATCGCCCCAAACTGCACCCCCCCTGCCATCCTAGTCTCCCCTAACTGCCCCCCACTGGCCTGGTCACCACTTACTGCCCACCCTGCTGGCCTGGTTGCCCTCAACTTCCCCCCCCTGCCAGCCTGGTCACCCCACACAGCCTGCTGTTCAGTCGTTTGGTCATCCCTCACTAGCCCCCCTGCCGGCCTGGTCGTAGGCAGCCATCCTGTGAGGGTGTGAGGGTTAATTTGCATATTACCTCTTTATTATATAGGATAGAAAAAAAATTTCTTCTAGAAGTACAGTACAAGGACATGAGCAAGCAGTGCTCAATAAATAAATAAATAAATAAATACAAATCCTTCCTGACCAACCTTAAGTGTTTGATTTCACAAATAGTCAATGAACTGAAAGTTAAAATAACAATGAGAAAATATATATTAATTGTATTAACATGAAGGTAAGGGTACAAAAAATTAGGCAATTGGGAAAGACAATTGGGAAAGACAATAGATTAGAAAAATACTTCATGGAGAATCAAGTGACAGAACAAATCCAAAGCTATAGGAGTGCTCATTTTTGTTTCCTAGGAATTTGCAATAAAGAATTAACCTTAGGTGCATAAACAATTTAATATAAAGATGTTTACATTATTTTTAATATGAGAGTACCAAAAACTACTTAACAGAGAGACTTCTTAAATTATGGTAATCCTATATAATAAAGCCTAATATGCTAAGTGTCCGGTCAACCAGTCAGCTGTTCAACCAATTAAAGCGTAATATGCTAATGATATGCTAAGGCCACTCAACCACTCACTATGATGTGCACTGACCACCAGGGGGCAGACAGTCGACTGGTCAACCAATCACTATGACATGCACTGACCACCAGGGGGCAGATGCTCTGACTGGTAGGTTAGATTGCTGCTGGGGTCTGGCCGATTGGGACTTAGCGAGATGGGCTGGACATGCCCTGGAGCCCTCCCACTGTCCTTCCTGGCTGGCCAACCTCCCGCATCCCTCCCCGGTCCCTATCGTGCACTGATGGGGTCCCTCAGTCTGGCCTGCGCCCTTTCACAATCCGGGACCCCTCAGGGGATGTCAGAGAGCTGGTTTTGACCCGATCCCGCAGGCCAGGCCTAGGGACCCTTAATAGTTCAAGAATTCATGCACTGTGCCTCTAGTCCTTAAATAAAATAATATTAAAATAATCTTAAATGTGAACAGTTACAAAGATGGAAATACACTAGTGTGCTAGATAAAAAATGTTATGAAACATTATATAAAGCATGTCCACATTGTCTAAATAAAAACTTTTGTTAAAAAGATTCGAGAGATACATTTAAAAATGTTAACCTTGTGTTAGAATATTCACTTTCTCCTCTGTATGTTTACATTGTCAATCCTATATAATAAAAGGGTAATATGCAAATTGACTGAACGGTGGAATGATCGGTCGCTATGACATGCACTGAGCAGGCAGGTGAGCGGTTAGGGATGATCAGGCAGGCAGGCAGAGTGATTAGGGGTCAGCAGTTAGGAGCAAGTAGGCAGGTGAGCAATTAGAAGCGAGCGGTCCTGGATTGTGAGAGGGATGTCCAACTGCCGGTTTAGGCCCGATCCCGGCCCCTGAGGGGTCCCGGTATGCAAAAATGTGCAGGCCAGGCTGAGGGAATGCCCCCCCTCCCTGTGCACGAATTTCGTGCACCAGGCCTCTAGTATATCATAAACCTGAATTATTTTAAATTACACACAAAAAAATTCCTGTTAAATCTGTTTTGCTTCTGAGAAAACTGGGTCTTACAGAAGAGTTTAG